CAAAAATTCCTTCCTCAGCTTGTACTGTCTAAATGATGTCATGAAACTTGTCTTGCGTTTTACAAGACGACTTATATCTCTTTTTTTCAGTGAAGTGAGTTAATATCACTACTCAATTTTGTAAAACAGCTTAGAAATTAAATGTGTATGTCACCACTCACTTGTTTGAGGGTCAGATTGTTCTGTACTTCTTCCACATACTTCTGTACTTCTTCCACTTCTTCTGTGGTTCTTCTGCATAGATCTCTGTGTAACTAGCTCATAAATGCATTCATGTGGCTAAAGAGATTATTACCTGTGCAGGTGGTGAGATTCCCGTTAGAAACTTAGAGCAATAGATTTGCTGGACACTGAAAAAAAAAATCAGGCAGCCATGCTAAACTTCCTAACACAGAAGTTAGTTATCTTGGCATTTGCTAGCATCACGAACTCAAACTGAAAACAAACCAAATTAAGTTAAATGTAAAAAAACAAACAAACAACAACAACAACAAACCAAGAAAAATATTTACTGACCAAAGCTAAGGAGATTAGAGTATCAACATTTATAGAAAATTTTAATAGAAGATGAAAAGGAAATCTTCTGCTTTAGTCAGCTCTAAAGTTCATATGAACCTTCAAGATGTAGCTGACCCCGTTACACATTCAGTGCTCAAGTCCTAGCATGTACTTTCTTAGCACAATCCAAGGAAATAGGATTTTAAGCAGAAGAGGATTTGATTCTTTCCTTTCTGCTTCTTTCTCCTCCGCCACCAAAATCACTGCTTTGCAATCTTCACTTTTTGATGGTCATTTCTTCCTTCAAAAGAGCCCTTTGATCTCTCAACCTGCCACTTTGGAGACTGTGCTGTCCCTTGGACATGGTTAGTGTGTTTAGCACTTGCCCAAATGGTGAGCAGTCAGCTGGGCGCTGTGGTGGCACTTGACTGAAGAGGCTGCTAGTCCCTTGTGAGGCAAATGGTCCCAATCTGGGCAGTTTAAAATGATTATAAGATTCTTCTTCACATATTCCTTTATTCACGGATAAGGTGTTAACCATGCTTTTCCAGTCACCCTGATTAAATTAATGTATGTGTCATATGACTGGATTTTATCCAGGGGCAAATATGCGGCAGACTTAACATTAACCAATCTTTTCAAGGTAATAATGGATTTCAGCTAACAGCTCCCAAAACCAATATTTGAGGCATAACGTGACATACGTTGCAATAATAATGTTGTTTATTACAGGGAAAATTGTCATGGTGTACCTACCCATCTGTTCGAATGATTGTCTGTTTCAGTGCCAAGCAGAGAGAACCAGTTGGCATTTCTAAATCTCGTATGTTGGGAAGGATGGCTATCTCCTGAGAGAATGTTCATAAAATTGGAAGTCATCAGAACATTAATAGCAACCAGGTTTCTTTGGCCCACCCTTGCCGCTAGGAGAAATAATTCCAGACACTTCCATCAGTATAAGAAAATGACCTGTTTTTCACATGAGAAAAGAAAAAATCCTTCAGTGTCATGGAGTGACTAAAGAAATGGTGGTCCTCTCAACTTCATAATCAATATCATGCATAAAGGATGGAGATGACCTTTTAATAACCTCTATGGTCAACTTTTAACTACTCAATGCTACTTCATGATGAAATGTAAGGAGCAGCTCCTCAAAAAAAAATCCTCACCATGCCCTCTTGGGCATGCCTTTTATCAACCATCACCTTAATAAGGCTTTTGGGCATGCCTTTGGGCATGATGGTTTTTATCAACCATCACCTTAATAAGGCTGGAAAATTGAAAAGATATTGAAGGAAAATTAGAACTAATTGGCACTGGAGGAAAGCTGAGGAACTGATCCAAGAGCTACTGTTGGCAGTAGAAACAGGTCTTAAAAGGAAACACAGAAAAAACATTTGTACTTTGCTTGCTTGCATCCTGCATTAACAGCATACATAAATGTTAGAAGCAACCAAAGGTGAGGATAAACATTTGCTATAAATACCAGCCTAAGTGAAAGCTGTATTAAAATAAAATATTGGCAAGTTTTTGGTGATTCAGAAAAAAAATGGCAACTTTGTTAAAAAAAAAAAAACAGTATCAAAATGTAAATAAATTATGTTGCAGCATGCTTACTGGTTAGCACCAAGTGAGGGACTGGGAGACAGTGCAAGAACTCTATTCCCAATTTGCCACGTGGTCCTGGCCAAGTAGTTTAGCTCCTGTTTGTTTATCCATCTGTAACATGGGGGTAAGAAAAGTTATTTCCCAGATGGCCGCATAGTGAAACTTAATTGATGTTTGTAAACTTCTGGCAGAGTCTCTGATGAAAGGTGAGCACAAAATAATATTACATTCACCTTCTGGGAGCTCCTATATTTATTTCATAAATGTAATAAAAATAAAGTGATGGTTACAAGGAAAGAATTATTAAAAATCTGTTGTAATAATTAGTGAGTTCAAAAAGCTCATTCTGTTTCACAGAATACCAATAAGAACTCTTACATAAATATAGATCAGACTTGATTTAATAGCTGCTTTGTTTTGTAAGAAGAATGCATACATCTTCCCAGGAAGAAAGTTCAAATCA